GCTACGGCTTATTCACACCATATTCTAGCCACTACCAGTGCTTGACCCCGGTGGATCTGAGATCATCTTCAGCTGCAATCGATCTCATAGCTGCAAGTGTCACTGCCGGGGTCAATGCGCCAAACAAATAAATTATTTTATTGCATTCATTGTGTCTTTGGTCTCTTCAGATTGAAACCACGTTTATACTCTTGGCCCCAACCAGCTCTTACAATTGGCCCCCGACCAAAATGAGTTTCACACCCCTGAATGAAAGTGAACCAGACCAAAAAGTGTGAACACAGCCTAAAATGCACTCCTGTTGTCTCAATAAGGGTCCTACAATTACAACTGGAATGTGCACTCGGAGAGAACGTACCCAGCTAAAGTCACGGATCATTCTGCAATTTTAATGGGGTCTTCCCACCATCAAATCCCATCTACACACCACATTTCAGCTCAGTCGCCCAGTAGTTTTTGCGTAATCCCCCATCTACACACGCACACACACACACGCACACACACATGCACACACACACAAAGTGATCCTAGCATTAGTGGGTTGACAAAAGTTTAATACACACATTTAACTATCACCTTGTGCTATTTTGGCCACTTTTCCTTACTTATATCCTTTTCTATTTCTGTAATAACTTAAATAATTAACCACCTGAAACTGCTGGGGAGGTTGAACAAAGCCGACAGCAAATGTTGAATTTCTGAAGCATAATGCATTCGTTACAAAGGTTTCCAAAGCAGGGCTGTGTAATATTAGGACCAGATGAGTGGCGCAGCAGGAGGGAGGGAAGGAGGAAGGCATGTGCGAATCTCCAATCACAGCTCTTCTGCAGCCTGTGAAGTTGGGCTGATTTCTGCAGCTCTGTTCCCATGGATCCATAAATAACATCTAGAGAAACTCATCCTGTCAGTACTTCAGTCAACTTAACGAGAAAAGTCACACAATATAAAAATGTCAGTTTGATGTGCATTTGTTTATGTATTTTATGTATTTTCATATTTTATCATCTGTGACCAGAACATCAATGAGGGACTACAGGACACAGTATTGATAGTTTCTTCTGTTCTTGAAATCTCACTTGGTTTTAGGCACTTTTACCATCAAACTGCATCTCAAGCGTTTGGCCTGTAATAAAGAATGGGGATTAAAACAAATTATTAGTGTTATTAAAGCTCCTACATCTCAGAAAAAATGAGTGAACATTAAAGGGTTAAAGCAATATTGGGTAACTAATCTTTATTGAAATATATACATTGGTGGAGATGCAAGCCCATGTGCTGTTTTATACTTTTTTTCCAGTGTTGTATAAACATGATTTTGACTACAAATGGGATGAAACACATTTAGTTACATATTTATGCCCCAGAATTATTAGTGATACATACAGTAAATCCTGGTTTTGGGACCAGCCGCCAAATGTGCACAGGGCAAAGAAAAAATAAACAATAGAAAACAAAACATTATTTTACGGCTTAGGTCTTGGTGTGTGCACAGTACTCGCTCACAGCATGTGTTTTCGTTGTGGAAATATTCTCAATATGAAACACACACAGACACGCACGCACCCATGCGCACAAAGCATTACCCTTCAATGACCTAATAATAATAATAATCATAATACATTAGTTTCATATGGCAGTTTGGCACTTTATAGCCACAGCTGCCCCACTGTGGCACCTGATGAACCTCGGCTTAGTTCAACAGAATGTTATAAGAGCACAGCAATAGGCTCTGATCATAGTTAAGCATAAGTTTGTGTAAGCTCTCAGTCGTACAGGGATTAGTCAAAGCAAAGGAAGGTTTCTCACCCATCATCTGTACTTCTTAGCAAGTTTTCCCGACGTTTCGTCCTCAAACTAGCGGACTTCTTCAGGGAATGAATTCTCGGACCGCGCGTTGGAGATTTATAACCTAAACCGAGATTTATAACCTATGGGTGTGGTTAGCCACACCCTAATCCTGATACTAACTCATAAACAAACTAAGGTCTGCTTGATGTAGAAGGGAGCAGGTCTAACGACCCTGCTGAGGCTAACGACCCTAACTCCTTAGCATGTCACAGACCTATTGTCTGCTGGGATGCTCAAGTGGAGTGCAGGTCTCACCCCTCCTAACTCATTAGCATGTCACTGACCTTGTCCCAAGTTAGGGCGTTGTTTTTAGGATGTTGTCATAGATGCGAGGCAAAACAAATCTTAACCCTCCTCCTCTGTTAAGAGAAGGTTTTTGTTTCCTCACAAAAATGGCTTCTTTCACTCCTCTCTCAAACCAATTCTTCTCCCGAGCCAGAATTTTAACCTCTGTGTCATCCACCGTGTGGTTGGAGGCCTTGAGGTGGAGATGAACAGCCGACTGTGGCCCACTAGAGTTTTCTCTACGATGTTGGTAAAGTCGTTTCTGTAGAGTTTGTTTGGTTTCTCCAATATAGTGGTCAGTGCACTCCTCTTCACTACATTTAAATGAATACACCACATTGCTCTGTTTGTGTCTGGGTGTTTTGTCTTTGGGATGCACTAATTTCTGTCTTAACGTGTTGAAAGGTTTGAAATACACAGGGATTTTGTGTTGCCTAAAGATTCTTTGTAGTTTCTCTGAAACTCCCGCCACATACGGTAAGGACACCCCTCTCCTCCTACTTTCTTCTGTCTGTTGGACTGTGTCTCTGGCCTTTCTCGTCCTTTGGGCTTTAGTAAAAGCCCAATTGTAAAAAAATTGTCCGTACTGGAGAACGGACAATTAGAGACTGAGGTCTTCAGAAAGTCCACTCACACTGACCAGTACCTGGCCTTTGATTCTAATCATCCGCTACAACACAAACTCGGGGTCATTAGAACGCTTCAACACCGAGCCCACCAGGTCCCCACAAGCTCGGAGGGAAAGAACAGAGAAACCAAACATGTTCAGAGAGCACTTTCCAGATGTGGCTACCCCAAGTGGTCTTTTACTAAAGCCCAAAGGACGAGAAAGGCCAGAGACACAGTCCAACAGACAGAAGAAAGTAGGAGGAGAGGGGTGTCCTTACCGTATGTGGCGGGAGTTTCAGAGAAACTACAAAGAATCTTTAGGCAACACAAAATCCCTGTGTATTTCAAACCTTTCAACACGTTAAGACAGAAATTAGTGCATCCCAAAGACAAAACACCCAGACACAAACAGAGCAATGTGGTGTATTCAATTAAATGTAGTGAAGAGGAGTGCACTGACCACTATATTGGAGAAACCAAACAAACTCTACAGAAACGACTTTACCAACATCGTAGAGAAAACTCTAGTGGGCCACAGTCGGCTGTTCATCTCCACCTCAAGGCCTCCAACCACACGGTGGATGACACAGAGGTTAAAATTCTGGCTCGGGAGAAGAATTGGTTTGAGAGAGGAGTGAAAGAAGCCATTTTTGTGAGGAAACAAAAACCTTCTCTTAACAGAGGAGGAGGGTTAAGATTTGTTTTGCCTCGCATCTATGACGACATCCTAAAAACAACGCCCTAACTTGGGACAAGGTCAGTGACATGCTAATGAGTTAGGAGGGGTGAAACCTGCACTCCACTTGAGCATCCCAGCAGACAATAGGTCTGTGACATGCTAAGGAGTTAGGGTCGTTAGCCTCAGCAGGGTCGTTAGACCTGCTCCCTTCTACATCAAGCAGACCTGAGATTGTTTACGAGTTAGTATCAGGATTAGGGTGTGGCTAACCACACCCATAGGTTATAAATCTCCAACGCGCGGTCCGAGAATTCATTCCCTGAAGAAGTCCGCTAGTTTGAGGACGAAACGTCGGGAAAACTTGCTAAGAAGTACAGATGATGGGTGAGAAACCTTCCTTTGCATAGTTAAGCATTATTTTTCTCCTTGAAACCCAAATAACATTAGGTTGCAGAATAAATTATCAGATCTGAGACTATTGATTCAGAACAACCTAGTGGTCAATGCATTTTATGAGAAATAATTGGGTGTTAAGGAGTGGAGAGAGTCCAATGTAGCCTGGCCTTAGCCATCCGTACACTCCGCTCAATTATCATTTCACTGCATGTAACGTCTGGGTCTAGTCCCTATGTTAGCGATTACAATCGGTTGAATTCCATCCGACCAATCAGCGAGCGCGGGAGGCGGGTGTAGAAGTTAGTTGTGGGTGACGTCAAGAGTTTGTGCCGAACGGGCAGGTTGTGGTTTGGCAATGGCGAAGAATGTGATAGTAAAGTAATCCGGTCTGGTTCTATCAAGAAATTGAAGCCGAAGCAAAAGGAATGTTTAGCAAATGTAATCGCTGGCAAAGATTGTGGCGCTACTCCCCACGGGCTTCGTTAGCGGCAAAGGAGATGGCTAGGCTAAATGCTAAATGCCAACGACTCACTAGGGCACATTATATACGTTACGGTAAACTCAGATCCAATCATTTCAATCTGCAAAAGGAGTTAACCCCTCCCACCTGGAAACGGAGTTCAATGGAGCAAATCCAGACCTTAGTACGAAATGTCATTTGTACTATGGTGTGGTACAACCAGGCTAAGTCCAATCGGGTGACTGGATTATTTTTTCAAAACAACATATACTGTGATGGAATTGATATTACGGCAAAAGGTTCATACACATACACACGTATCCACAGATAAAACATAAACATTTGTTTTGGAGTACCTTGGGCAACCCACTTCCTTAGCCCATTACTTTTAATAGACTTGTTATGAATCTATAAGGGCTGCAACGCTTTCCTCAGGTAGAATCAAGACAACAGCTCAGTTCAGATAGCTCAAAGCTTCCACAATAGATTTAGATTCAGCCAATGCAGAAATAATGTCATCAAGGCAAGTTTATTTATTCATGCACACAGTATTTCATAGTGCTTCACAAAACAAGAAAGGGGAGATTAAAATAGCACAAACAAACACAAAAACAGAAATATGCACAGGCACACACACACACACACACACACACACACACACACACACATACACGCAATATGAATACAGTCTGCGGATGTATGAACAGATTATTGCCATAAACATTAGGATAATTTGCTCCAGTTGGATTGGTTGCAGAGGGCTTCGTCCAGTGGGTGCGCGGTGATGAGAAGCTGGCATGTGAACACCGTGAAGAGGGTGCTTTGGCTCAGGGTGACATGGCCCGCAGCAGATAGAAGGTGTTGCTCTGATAAAAAAAAACAACGGTTGGTTTTAACCTGTAGAAATGCACTGCTGACAGCTCATTCAACACATTTGCAGAACTGATAATAACTTGTGGGGTTGATGAAAGCCATGATGATCGGCGTAGCAGATACATTATCATTCAAATATATATATTCAAATAACTATAAAGAATATATAGTGTAATTTTGGCCATAAAAATATAAGCATGGACATTTACGATTTATCTTTTAGAATGTGTAGAAAATACATGGTGAAACATCTGCCATACTTCCCCATGCCACCACAAGAGGGAGGAATTAAATTTGTTTTTTTCCCCCAAATTTTGAAATTGAGATTGTCAAAAAAATACCCAAAGTAATTCATGGGCAATACTTTTGTTCTTAAAGGGAAAAAAAACTGCTGAGTGTGATGTCATAATAGTAGTTCAATGACATACTGTTGCAGAACTGAGACGGCAGAGTTAAAATGTTCCTGATATTAGCCAGGATAGATCCAAAAACAACTCCAGGTCTGTTTTTGATGAAGGAACGATGTTGTGACATGGTCATAAGCTCAATGGGTCCAATACGTCTCCTTTAAAGCCAAAGTACTCAATAAACTGAACTATATCATAAAATGCCTCTGTACATCTAGAGGAGGAAGACAGCGTGTTTTGGTCGGATTTGTTCACACAAAACTTTTTCTGCTGAAAGATAACGGTAAGGCACCCCTTTCATAAGCTTCAACCTGAAATGTTCAAGGTTATACTTAATGAGAAATTCTCAAAAAATGTTCTCTGATGAACTAGTAATCTTTGAAAGAATGTAAACGGTTTCTGTTAAGTGACTACGTGTGAACCTGGAGGTCACTGGAGCAGAAAGGGAAGGACCAATATGTTAGAGTTGTGTAACCCTGAATGTAGCAACCGTCAACCCTCCCCACTTATATTATGCATTCAGCCGCCAGCTTAATAGATTTCACATATTTGAATATGGTAATGTCTTGTAGCAATTCGGATTTTATGTTCTCAAACATAAAATTCCCCGCCTGGTATTATCTGACCAGAATAAGAAGTACTTGGTTTGCTCTACAATGCTGCGATTCAACTTGACCGACCTGGAAATTAAAATCCTTGTAAGCACTTGTGTTCAGCCATAACAGATAAAAAAATCTCTGTGTGCCATCCTTAAAAACAACTTAATGCATGCAGATATATATATATATATATATATATATATATATATATATATATATATATACACACAGTATATTATACTATATATTATATATATATATATATTTGTCATCCAGACAGACATTGTGCTGGTGGACGAAGGGCAGTAGAAAGGCTGTAGTGGAGAATGTTACAAAACCAAGTGATGGAAATACCAGAAAAGAAGGAGCACGAGAGGATCGAGAAATACCAAGGGCTCAGAGAGGAGCTGGAGAGGGCCAGGAAGGCAAATGTATGTTTAGAGATTTTAAAGAGTCAAAATAAATAAAAAAGATTCTGGTTTTTCACGCACGTCTGCTCCACCATGTGTGAGGTACATATGAAAGCTATAATAAATGTGCAATCGCTATACGCATTTATGACATATGTTGTTCATTCATTATTACAAACCTTCTAATCCTCAAAATAAATGAAAGTTGCAAGAAAAGCACGTTTTCTACAGGCCTACATCATGTTGATAAGTTCTTTCCTTTTGCTCAGGTTAATGAACAGCCCATTTCCCATTCATCAGCTGCTCCCATAGGACCGTCTGCTCCAGTCATTAGTCAGGGGGAATATGCACATTAAGTGGTGAATTCTCAGATTAGCCCATAAGAATAATGAAGTGACAGTGCCATGCTCGAGAGTGCGATCACCGCACGTAAAAACAAACAGCTTGATTGGAGAGGGTCGAGCGGTGGGCGCATGCGAAGAGTTCACAGAAGGATAACATCATAAACACAGAAACAAGGCAATGGTCCGTGTAAGTAACATTAGGAGCTAATCGGAAACAAGAGCGGTCTAATTATCAAAACACTCTCAGGTCATAGTTATGGTTCTCCAGTCGTGCGGGGCTGCCCTGGTGTTTAGTACAAATGAAGTGAGAGTAAAACAAACGCTAACAAGACCAAATGTCCAGAGTTATTTTGAACCTTTTTAGCAGGAGGAAGCTGGAAAAAGTTCTCCAAATCAAAACAGCATTACTGGGTGTCTGTTCAGTGTTCAAAGAATCTAACTTAGTGTTGTTCACCAAGTGGTACCCTTACCAGTTTAAAATTTCAACCATCATACAGTTACTATATTAGTTCAAGACAACCGAACGCTCCAGAGAATCTCGGTTGTGCTCGTTGTCATTTTATTGTGTGACAAAGATCCAGGAAAAAAAAAAAATGCTGGTCTCAGGTGAATTTTTTTATCTAAATGTTACAAATTCATCCGTGTGCAAAGCTGTCTGCGGCTTGAATCGTGTGACGTCTCCATCTTTGTGCGTTTAAAGTGTTTTCAATCAGTATTTTTTCAGTATTTGTGGCAGGAGAGTGTCAAATGCCTTGGCAATATTAATGTGTCCGGGTGAAAACATCCCTTTAAAAAAACGGGGTGATTCCCTTCAAAGCAATATTCCATCCAGAGAATATACTGTAACTCATCTTGGTTCTGATTTTTTATTTGTTTTAATTAACCTAAAATAAGCAGTCATATGTTTTGTTGTTTTGGAGGACTGCAGCAAAAGAGAAGGACATGAGATTGTGTAAAAGATTATAAGAAGGACCTGGCCCAATACACAGTCATTTGCTTGTTTTTTTTTTCACTTAAGGAGTTTAACGTTGACACTACTAAAAATAACCACACCACAACATCTACAGTATGTATCTAGATCCTAGCTCTCAAACCAGTTTCATCGCTTGTTCTCACATTTTTGCATTGTTGGCCTCTTTCACAGCTTTTCCAGTAAACCAGACTTAAGCCTTTTGTTTTTTTTGTCCAAAAAAGTGACACAAACAGTTACTGATCTCCAGGAGTTTACTGTCTACTGTAGATAATAAGAGCCTTAGTGCAAAACTTTGTCCATGTGCACTTCCCTATTGGTCCTCAATGAGCTGGGGGGTTAGCGCTGCCTGCCTATATACTGTCTGTATATGGTACTCTTCTAAGTCCCAGTGTACTTGGGCTGTCAGCAAATGTCAAAAGCCACTGTCTGCTTCAGTTTCCTTTTTTCCGACAACTGTATATGTGAGATGTGTTTACCTTGTTTGCGCTGTTTAATGCGAGTCGTCCTCAGAACCGTCAGAATCCTCTGTGATGTGTCAGTTGATGGTTCCTGGGTCGGCGTGATCAGCCTACGGAGCTGACAGGTCACTCACTGGTGATAGTTCTGAGGATAGCTCGCAGTTAGCAGCCAGAAAATGTAAAGGTAAATACATTTCACTATACAGTAATTCTGACGAGAGGAAACTTGTGAAATCCAGATTGACAAACATTAACTTAAATATTTTTATTAGGCTTCCTCCTCTGTGGAAGTTATCTTACATGCCTTAATTTTCGTATTGTTCTAATATAATTATTTTTGCAATAACAATCAGTCAGCATTTAAAGGCCTTTAAAGGAGACATATTATTGAGCTTTTAACCATGTTACAATATTGTGTCTTCGTTCAAAACAGACCAGAAGTTTTTGATCTATCCACATTTATGGGCAGTGGTCATCCTGTTCCCTGTGGACCATTGGCTCCTATGTGTTTGGTATTATTACTTTTCTTGTGTTCAAACTTTTTTATATTGGAAACATCCAGCACAAACATGTAACTCCACCCCTCTAAATTATCCTGTTTCAAACCTCTAATGATGTTATAAAATAATTGTATTTGTATAACTTTATAATCTGAGCAGTTTTCTGTCTGAAATAACAAAAAACTAATTTGCATTTAAAAATGTCATAGGCAAGGCAAAGGCAAGGCAAGTTTATTTGTATAGCACAATTCATACACAAGGCAATTCAAAGTGCTGAACAAAACAAGAAAGCATTAAAATCATAAATTATCTTTCAAAAGAAAGATAAAAATATAAAATCCCTCAGTTGTATGCACAGCTAAACAGAACTGTTTTTAACCTGGTTTTAAACATTGTCAGAGAGGAGGCCTGTCTCACATCTTCAGGAAGATTGTTCCAGATTTTAGCAGCATGAATCTGAAAAGCAGCCTCCCCATGTTTAGTTCTGACTCTGGGCACTAACAGGAGTCCAGTCCCTGTGCTCCTCAGAGTCTGAGATGGTTCATATGGGACTAACATGTCACTAATATATTTTGGAGCGAGGCCATAGAGAGACTTGTACACAAGCAGAGCTGTTTTAAAGTCTATTCTCTGAGCCACAGGAAGCCAGTGCAGAGACCTGAAAACTGGACTAATATGGTTGTACTTCCTGGTTCTAGTCAGGACTCGAGCTGCTGCATTTTGAATGTACTGCAGCTGTTTTACAGCCTGTTTGGACAGACCTGTGAGCAGGCCATTGCAGTAGTCTAACCTACTGGAGACAAATGCATGGATAAGAATCTCCAAGTCTGCTTTAGACACTATGTTTTTGATCCTGGCAATGTTTTTTAGATGGTAAAAAGCTGCTGATGTTACTGATTTGATGTGGCTGTTGAAATTTAAGTCTGAGTCCAGTATTACCCCTAGATTCTTGACCTTGTTTGAAGGTTTTAGGGAGAGAGACTGGAGGTGACAGATGACGCTCTCTCTTTGTTTCTGGGGACCAAAGACAGTCATTTCAGTTTTGTCTGTGTTTAGCTGAAGGAAGTTGTTTTGCATCTACTCACTGATCTGTTGGATACAGTGAAGGAGTGAGTCCACTGGTCCATGTTCTCCTGCAGTCAGTGAGACATAGATCTGAGTGTCGTCTGCATAGTTGTGATAGGACACTTTGTTTCTGCGTATTAACTGACCTAACGGCAGCATGTAGAGATTGAACAGAAGAGGTCCTAGGATCGACCCCTGTGGTACTCCACAGGTCAGGGCCATATGATCTGAGGCACAGTTTCCAATCTCCACAACCAACTTAGGGCGGTGCCAGCGACGCCAACCCAGTCCTCTAGTCTCTGTAAGAGGATCTCATGGTCGACGGTGTCAAAGGCAGCACTCAGATCTAACAAGATTAAGATTGAAACTTGGCCTACGTCAGTGTTCAGCCGGATATCGTTTGTAACCTTGACGAGAGCAGTCTCAGTGCTGTGGTGGGGTATAAAGCCGGACTGAAACATATCAAATGAGTTGTTGATTATAAGAAATCTAGTAAGCTGTAGGTAGACAACTTTCTCAAGGACTTTCCCCATAAATGGTAGATTTGAGATGGGACGATAGTTGTTAAGTACCAACAACTTTTCAGGGCCAAATATAATTTTCATGGTCAAATATAATTCATAATGTTAATTCTTTTATGTTATACTGAGTAGTAGTCACTGCAAAAATCCTGGTTCATCACAGCACAAAAGCTGAGCACATTGGGGCCTGGTTAGTACATTGGAGACCAGGGGGAGTAACCTGTGCTACAGTGAGACGGCTGTGGCTCTATAATACAGACTTTCTTTGTTGCAAGACGCTTCATGCATAATGTTCAAATCAATCTGTTTTGTGTTTGCAAATTGACGGCTTATTGACAATCTATCCCTGAATCACAATGGCTTCTACATAACAGTCAGCCAATGTTGTTCTTTATACGGGACACAACCACTTTATTTAATTTGTGTTTGGAGTAAAACTAATTTGCTTCCATCTCTTTCACATTATCCCTGCAAAATTCCTGTTTTTCTTTCTTTTTAGGTTTTCCGGAAAGCCATTGTTTATTTCCATGGTTTTGCCGTGGTCTGTATATCGGTTAGGAGCTATTCTACTGGCAGTAACGTCATACCTCAGCGGCACATACCTAGACTTGCGTGGGTCCAGGCTTGGTCTTTGCCTGCCAGGCTGCTCCTGCTCTACCGGCTCTGAGCTGATAGGAATGGTGATAAAGGCAGCTTAAATTTGGGGTAAATACAAACAAAAGAGAAATGGCTCTTTGATTTGCCAATACAATACCACCGGTTGTTTTGTGTTGTGCGTGCCGGGATTAAAAGCAAAATCATACCTCTGTTTTGTTAATCATTTAAATATGTTCAGTCTCCGGCACAACAGATGAAGTTCCTATTTGCATTCTATTTTCTGACCCACTTGTTTCGACTCATATGAGCAGAGCTTGAACAAGTGGCGCATTCAGAGGAACAATGCAAAATCAGTGACCTTGGTGCTGGCCTGTTTTGTTTCTGCTTGTGTATCTCTCACGACGGCTGTAATGACATGTTATTAAGCAAATGTGCGGCTGTATAAATATTGATAAGAGGAATTACGCTCTCTAGAATGACAAATGTGCAACACGGTCATAAAATATTAAGATATAGCTGGGAAGCATGGGCAAAAACAAGAAAGAATGCAAACAAAGTGAGGAAACAAATGATGACAAAAGCACCCTCTGAATTTCTAATCTCTTTGACTCAGAATTTATAGCTGTTGGTAATAATGACATAAAAAATTGAACATCTTGTGTTTTTATCTGCCAATGTTCAGGGAAATCAGAAATGTCCATGAACCTGTACAGTTTGAGTGTATTGAGTGAATGAAAACTGACATGTGAAGCGTCTTTGAGAGTCCAAAGCAGCGCTATATATAAAACCGATGCATTATTATTGTTTTTGGTTGCCTTGTCTATGAACTGTGCTATACAGATAAACTTGCCTTGCTTTGCCGTGTGCACTGTCCCTATCAAATACAGTAAAAAGATAAAATAAAAAAAGATTAACCTTGCACATTCATTTCTTCACCCATTCTTAAAGTAGCAATATGTAATTTTTTCATGTCAAGTCATCTTTAAACGGCCCTAAAAAGGCATTAATAAGCCATGCTCTTTTCAAATACTTGGTTCAGCCGAGATATTTGGATTTCAGAATTACATTTACAGCCTCTAAATCTTGTTATTGTTTTCATTTCGATGTCCCGACCTCCACTGTTTTTCCAATCAGAATGTCCGTGATCCGGGTTGCCAGAACTCACCGCATTGAGCTAATCTCTCTGGTAAAGTAACATGTGGCCGCAGGACTAAAAAATGTCTTGTTATTATTCTCAAATCATTAACGACAAAACAAGGAATGAAACCAGGATTTCTATCTTTGTGAAAAAAAGGAGTTGGTTTTAGATTTGTTGTTGACAAAACTCTTTATCCAGATATTATGGTTCCAGCTGGATTCGCTGCATATCTGGCAACCTGAGTTAGGGAGAGTGCAGTACCACTTTTGGTCAGATTTTTACGTACTGCTCTTTTCGATATTATCTGGGCTCTGCATCTCCCCCTACAGGGGAAAAAAAAAAGTACACTCTCTCAGTCCATACATTTTCATCTTGTGTGTAATTGTTGAAGAAAGATTTGTTTTCCACACTGATATTTGCCTATGTGAACTGATGGACCAGGGTTAACCAGCCTGGTGAAAGCACCAAACCTCTGGCCCCAGAGTTTGTACACTCCCAACCACACGCACATGCAGCGGAAAGGCTCAAAGGGCTCGCCGTGTCTGTCATGTGTACGAAGCCCGCGGGTGAGAGCTTAATTAGAAGGGCCGTGATGAATCCGTGACATTTGTCTAAAAGTGACGACAAATGTTCTCTGCAAAAAAAAAATCCACTAGAAAAATACACCAGACGTCAAGTAGTAGTAGTGGACTTTCTTTTCTCATCGTGTGTCATGTTTTTTCAGTTAGCCTGATTCCACTTCAACACGACTTCCACCTCAGTGACATGTGTGTTCCATTACCATCAGTTCTTCAAAACTTCTTTCCAGGACTTTGTGGCTTCACAGTCTGCTAGAGAAGAGGATTAGCCACTCCTGAATTTGATTTATTTCGGTGCTCTAACTGTTTATTAAATATAATTGACCATCAAAGTTATCACAGAGAGCAAGAGAATGAAGGGAGCAGTTACAAATGCACCACAAGAAGAGATTTTTTTCTCGTTCTCTGCAAAGCTATTTATCTAAAGACTGAGTTAGTTTGAGGCCAGACTGGGAGGCAGATGATAGGTCATATTTTATCCAGTAATACCAGTGTGTCTGTATTGAATTTATTTGAGCCAAGTAATGTAATATGTAATAAATTGGCTGAAACACCAGGCACAGTTGTGGACTTTGAATAACTCCAATATTTGAAAGACAAACTCCCAGAAGGATGTAGTTATAAAATCAATTTATCAAACTGATGAGAGGTTCGGGGGTTACTCACATTATCGGGATTGAGAAGTTATGTACCCACAACTCTTTGGTTATCCGGGGGAGTTTGAAGCGCAGGGAGGAGCCACACAGAGATTCTCCCAAATCAGCCATATCTGCACCCAATCGTTCTAACATCCTGGTGGTACGACTGTCTTCTATAACACGTGGAGCTTTTTAATGTCGCAAACCAGAGATAAATAACACTTAGTCATTCAATGTGAGAGACTGGAGTGTTGCAGGTAAAGTTCACAGACAATATTAGATTTATGTTTGACAAGATGGTTGCCGGTGCTCTGTCCAAATTGTTCTTGCGGTCCTTTTCTCTAAATGATCTTTCTCCTGAATTATTTCTCTCGCCTTGGACTTGACAAGGCGAAATAAAGTTTTTTTTGGGCATATCTTAGGACTACCCAAAACAGTGGTCGCTACAAGGTGTAAGCCCCCTCAATCGCTGCATTGATGACAGTGGATTATATATCGACGATGCCTATTTGGAAATGTCCAAAGTGAGAGTATGTGGTACTATTTGTATCTATAGTGTAATATCATAGTACTGTTACTGTTACAAATGTCTTTTTTTAACATATAGTGATGATTTTTGTATTTTGTTTTGGAAGTTTCTGACCTGGATCTGTGTGTATTAAAATGCAAATGAAATTAAAAACTGTAGTTGCACAATATAAAAAGTATTTGACAGGTACATTGAAAAGTACTTCAATATATATACTGTATTAATATATACTGTAGCCACTGAAGAGCAGCAGCGTGGACTTTGTCACCTGGAAAACAGCCTGGTTCACGTTTTGGTTGCTGCAGATGTATTTTGGGTTATGTTATTATAGTAGTCTATAAGGAAAACCACCATTTACCATTGAATAGTTTATATGCAAAAACAGATGCCATGGAAACAAATCATTTCTCTTTACCAAGTAGTTTTGTGAAAAGCCAGATCTATTTTAGTGGCATACAAATAAGGTTTCACCCATAGACTGTAAATATTAGCAGACGTAGTCACGCCTATCTCCGCCGTTCTAACTTATGGGCCATAAATTGGGCTCTCATGGAGTGATTCAAAATGGCCGCGGGGGCTGGAGAATGTGAAAAAACACATCTGCGCATGCGTCAGCCGGCACAAGCCCCATTCATTTAAACGAGTAAACTACATGTAGAGTGGTCCAAAAAAATGTGGAGCGGAGCTTTGGGCCAAGATCCAACTTTTAGACCATCCTGTAAAGTTGTTTTCGAGAGGTAAGAAGATGCTATATGTTAGCATTGGCTAATTCTTATTCCGGGTCCACCCCCATCGGCCCGGGTTGGTATAACAAGCATGTCAGCGCACGTCATTTTGGCCACTTTTGAGCCGGGACCCTCACCCACTGGTTTCACCCCTTCTTGCGCAGATTCCTTCAAGTGTACTGCCATTAACAGAACATGTTGAAGATTGTAACTAGAGGAATACAATATTTGGACAGAATTTCAAAACTGAGATATCTATTTTTGCATGTGAACTCTAAAGCGAATAGATGTGATTTTAGACCGCTGACTGTGAAATTATGGCTTTGATTTGGTAAGACGGTACTTGCAAAGACCTCGGGCTTTTACTTCAGTCTTGTATAAAAACATGGTTCTATTATTTGTTGTCTTTAAATGAGCTCATGAGAGACTCCATGATGGAACCACCCACTCTGTTTTCTCTGCTCTATCTGTGAAGCCAAGCATGGGGCCGAGCTATGAGGGTACAAAGCAGCACTATCTTCAAAAGGCTCTGATGCATTGCAAATACTTCAACTTTTGATGAACGATAATGTGCTTTAGGGTCACATTAAGCAAATGCCAGTATTATCCAACAGCTTCGAGAAATGTAAAAAAGTCCAGAAGAAAATCACATATGGGCATGTCAACTATTTCAGTTATTGATTCATTTGACTGCATCTCAATTGAGCTCTGTATAACATTTTTCACTGACTTTTCCACAGAAAAGTACTTTAAGCTTAGATAAGCTTCATTCTGTCCCTTTGATAGAAAGTTAGAAATCTTAGCACATCTTATAAAACAAGTTTCCAAAGTGCTGCACAGAGATAAGAGTAATGTATTAAAATAAACAGGTTTGCTAGCTTTATATGTTTCAAAAAAATAGAATAAGTAAAACATTGTGTGCGAAGTAAAAATAAATACAATATAAAAAGATAAAATAGTGTGGGTTTATAAGTCAACTAAACTACTGATTTTTTTTATTTTCCTATTATTCTTGGAGTAAAGTCCTCCCGTGGACCCACCAGCTGCAGGAGGATCAGTGAGAGGCCGGTGCTGTGTGAATTGGGTGGCAGCTCTGATTGTCGGCCTCTTCGACCCAGAAATGGATTAAGGGGATGAAAAAGGATGGAATGGATGGAGTAAATTCAAGAAAAAATGAGCAGGGCTTTGTTGGTTCCATCATATATCGATTGCCCCTTTGGACACTGGCTCAGAGACATCTCCATTCAATTCATTATCCTCTCTGCTCCAAAGTGAAATGTTACTGTTCCAAACAATTATCTACACACACACACAAACACACACACACACACAGACATGCAAACCAACGCACACACACACACAGACATGCAAACAGACGCACAAACACACACAGACATGCAAACCAACGCACACACACACGCAAACCAAGGCACACACACACACAGAGACACACACACACACAAACACAAATGTACACGGAGACACACACAGGTAAGACACACACACACACACACACAAACAAACCAACACACACACAGACGCGCACACACATACACACGCGCAAACCAACGCACACACACACCCACACACACACACATAGACATGCGCACACAAACACACACAAACAAACCAACGCACACACAGACGCACACACACATACACACGCGCAAACCAACGCACACATACAGTACACACACATAGAGACACACACACAAACACAAACACAAATGCACACGAACACACACACACACAGGTAAGACACACGCACACACACAAATGCACATAGAGACACACACACACACAGGTAAGACACGCACACACACACACACACACGCACACACACTCACACACACACACTATTAGGCATCTCAGATTTTGCTAACAGCAGGCTGAAGGCAGAGTGATGCACCCCATCTATCATCATTATCAGATTTTTTTTGTCTCCCGCCTCGACGTGCTATCTGTCGACACAGTAGCAAACACTAATGATTTGTGTCATTGATGAAAGTTCCCCACATAACTGCGCCCAGCTATTTCTCAGAACACTGACTCCCAATCATCTCCAACATCTGGAACAACTGGAGACTACATAAACAAGGACTGTGGAGGGTGGGGGGCAGGGCGAGTGGTGCCATCTTGGATCGGGATTTCAAAGACGAGCATGCAAAGTTCGCCGGGAGTTACATGGGGGGAATGTAAACAGCACAGGCGGATGGAGGGGTCACTATTGGATCTTGTGTTGTTGGGAGGAAGTTTAGTCATTTGCAGTTTGGGAGCCTCACTCGTGGAGCACTGGAGCTGGGGGTTGGGGGGAGTATCACACCCACTGAGCTTTCAGACTAAAATAATCAATCCATATTTAACTGGTAAAGCACATTTAATAGCATAAGGCTGCACAGACAAGTGAAAAACAGCAACAATAAAAACACATACAAATTCAAATGTTTGTATACAAATAAATGCTTCCTGGTGTTGAAAGCCAATGAGAAAAAGTGCTTCTTAAAGGCATTGACTATTATATTTATTTATTTATTTATGTATTTTATGTTGAGTTTGAGTTTGAGTTTGAGTTTATTTATTTAAGTGTCATGCACAAAAGTGCCCAGCCCACATGGGCTTATATGACACTGAACAACAACTTCTGATGGCTACAGACCATATACAGACATGAAAAACAGAAAACAATTTACACTTTGGTGCATTATACAGGGTACAGAATCTGTTGTCTCCTCTCCCAGGCTTTAGCAACAAAAGAAGCAAAGGCAAAAACTTCATGGCATATGTATTAAATGTATTGTATTTATTTGTATTATTATTATTATTATTATTATTATTATTATTATTATTATTATTATTATTATTATTATTATTATCATCATTATTGTCACTATCATTATTATGTAATACTAATACTAATGCATTGGTTTTATATAGCACTCAAAACAATTCACATGGACATAATCATTCACTACTACTGTACTACTACTACTGTAGCCACAGTTGCCCCGGGGCCAGACTGTCTGTCAGAAGCAAGGCAATGAGTATATGTGCCATCAGCCCCTCCAAACACCACCAAGCATTCACACACAACCAACTTATTCTAGACAATGTGGGTGAAGGCACTTTATCGCCTCAAATGCCCCACTGATGGTATCTGGTGTTCCCTAAGTTCTCCCATCTCAGTACCTGCCCTGCTTCGGAGGTCTGACAAGATCTGCTGCCGACCTGCATGTGAAAACCACACAATTATAGCAAGATTACTATAACGGAACTCCACGACTCCTCTTGTCTCAGCAATATGTGGGGTGGGTAAAAAAAAGCAGTGGATGGATCACTTTCTCTGTGGAGATCTTGTGGCTGGTATGTCATCAAAATGGCAAATCCATCTCTGTGGAAATTCTTGAAACTGGATAAAATAACTATAACGTTTCATAGCATGACGCACTCTTGGCAACATTTTCAAGAGACCTACTGCAACAGTTTAATTACATGTTAGAGATCATGCTATAGATTATAAGGGTCAACTGTTTTTCAGGTTGTATCAGTAGAATTATAAACACAGTGAACGCATAGATTGAAAGGCAAAATCAGAAAGGCAGACCCAAGGCAACTCTCAAACACATTTTCATGAACACTTTTATTTGAAATACACATCTTTGGTCATTATTGGCTAAAAGAAAATTCTTTCATGTATTCAGCTTTCATGCTAAGTGAGTGATAGGTGGAGTGATCTTAAAAGAGATTCCAACTTCATATATTTGATGAACACAGGTTTAATTGATCTTTGCTCTTAACCACAGGCTCAATAACTAACAAACTGGGCTTTGATACAGAAGAAATTATCTTATTTTTATGTCTCACTCTCAAACGTGGCA